CAGGCCCCAGCACTCGCCTGTGTCCTGACAGGCGCGGTGGGCGTGTGTCCTCAGGGCGCCGGTCAGCGGCCTGCTCGGGGGCCAGGTGAACAGTCGGGCCACCTCTTGTTCTTGCTTTTCGTCCCCATGTTCTGAGATTCACCACGTTGCCTGTGGTGGTGACCTCGACCCCCGTGACCTCTGGTGGGAAACAGGCTGCTGGCAGAGGCCGTGGGCTGGTGGGAAGGAGCAGTGGGGAGCACGGTGGGGGACCCTACGGGGAGGGCGGCGCGGAGACCTGGTGGGTGGGTGTGCACGGGCCTGGAAGGGCCCTCCCAGTCCTGGTGGATGCTCTGAGGAGTCCAGTGCTGGGCTGTGGTGCAGCCCCAGTGAGAGCCCGTGGCCCTGGGGGCGGGGAGGGGAGGGGAGAGCCTCACATGTGGGTCAGTATGACTGGACGTTGGGATAAACGTGCAGGGTCCGAAGTGATTGTGACCTTGCACCTGATACGACTGTGTGGTCAGCAAGAATGCAGATGAGCTCAGTTCCATAAACGAGAGAGAAAACGCAAGGGAGAACCCGGAAATAGGGGGTCCCGTCCGGGCCAGGGGCTTGTCCAGTACTTTCTGATCCTCTTCCCATTAGTCACAGGGAGGACCCAGCCCCTGCTTGGCTGGCACGCAGGCCGGGAGGAGGTGCTTCCTGGTGGAGAAGGGGGCTCGGCCCCTGTGACTGCTGGGGGACATTGGCGTCCTCTGGTGGGCCCTCGGCCGGAATGGGGACGAGGTAGGGAAACCGCTGGTTGCTGATGGAGCCTCCTGCTGTGGCCGGAGGTTGTGGGCCTCGGGGCTGTCCTCCCGGAGAGACCGCCTTCCTGCAGTGTCAGTGCCTCCTGCGCCGTGAGGGAAGCCGGCCTCTGCCGCTCCAGGCCCCGTGACACCCCCACTCCAGTCGGCAGGCAGAGGCCTGACTACTGAGAGCCAGAGGTGCAGAGCCTCGCGACAGGACCCCCGGAAACCTCGCCTTGGTCCTCCACCTGGTGTCTGGTAGTTCGACATAATCTTATGGTCTCAGCTACAGGGTGGGCAAAAGTAGGTTCACAGGTGTCCGTGTGGAAAATAATGCAGTAATTTGATCAATAATAACACCAGAATACACTTCTGTGCACTTAGCGGTTTTAGCAGTGACTTTCCCAGGTGGTGCGGGCGTGAACGCCAGGCTAGCTGCTAAGACCACACGTGACTCTGCCACCAGAGTGACTGGGATGGGCTTCCTGGTATGTGTTTTGGTGGTAAACTCGTGACATGCGCACCGCCTGTGCACTGGTGTGAGGGCAGGACGGACAGACGGTGGTGGTGGGCTGTGCTGATGCGTTCAGCCTGCTTGCTGTTCTGGGGGACTTCGTCTTGGGAATAGGCTATGGTCACTCAGGCCCATAGAGAGAGAGGAAGGGAGAGGGAGAGAGAAATACCGATGTGAGAGCAAAACCAAACATGGATGCTGCCTCCTGCACCCCTGGGGGGGACCGAGCCTGCGCTCCGGGTGTGTGGGTGTGTGCTCTGACCGGGAATGGAACTGGCGACCTTTTGGTGCACACATGACGCCCACACTGGCCAGGGCTGAGGTCACTCAGATTTTAAAATCCCCTGGGTGGCCACAGGTCTGATCTGATGGCATGTGTGTGCGTGTGCACGTGTGTGGTTCTGTGCACTTAGCAGGTGCATAGCTTGTGGACCCACCATGCAGACCTGTTCCGGCCACGCCCACCCATCTCCATCTGTTAGAATGTCACCGCCGTGGGGTCAGCGCACCCGTGTTCTTTGAGATTGGCAGTTCCCTGGGGTCCCTGGCCGCTCCCATTGCTGGGGGAAGGGGGTGCGAGCCTGTTCCGTGTTCAGCTCTGAGTGCCGCTGCTGTGAACATGCCTGTACGTGTTTGTCCGTGAACGTCGGTGTTCATGCCGGGGGAATGCCCACGGTCGCTTAAGCTTCACACGTTAAGTACCTGGGAGTGAGGTCTCAGGTGTTGAAATTCCGAGGACAGGGCCCTCCCTCTGCAGGGCTGCGGGGGGCGGGGGGGTATTTAAAAGGTTACATCCAGGAATTTGCAAACTTAGAAGATGCTAACCCTCATGGACAACTCGAATGAGTTATTTGAAGGAAAGACGTTGAGCTACTTGACAAAGTTGGGAAGAGAAAACCTAACGGCATGGGTTCCTTTTCTAGAAAGGGGAGCCCTGGTGGGAGGCGCCCACCCACGGTGCTCGGCTTTGTGACCCCCGCATGTCAGCTGAGAGCCCTGGTGGCAGGCGGCGGCCCGGCAGCCTGTGCCCCTGCTGACAGCCCAGATGGCCCCAGGGCCCTGGAGAGGGGCGGAGGGGGGAGGCCCGCTCACAGGAAGGTGACGAAGGTGAGGGTCCTCCAGGTCTCCGGCCTGCTCACGGGACTCTGAGGGCGCGCAGCAGTGCCTCCTGCCTGCGGGGTTCACTGCACCTCTTCTCGGGGCTGTTTGCGGGTTGGGGTGAGGCGCCCTGCCTGGCGCAGCCCAGGGGTTGTGCCTGCACCTGCAGCCCAGCTCCTTAGCGTGAGCCTCCATTTCTAGTCCGTTGCCTGTGCGGGTGGAGACGGCTGTGCGGGGTTAGAGGCTGTGGTTTGCGCGCACGCAGAGCTCCTAGTGGCTGTGCGTGACTTACACGCGCTTCGGCGCTTGG